CGCTGACAAACATATTGCAGATCGTAAGATGGTAGCTGGAATCGATAAGTTTCTAGGCAAGAAGAGTTTAACCGAGCAAATTGTCAAGCGAATCATGCAAGCTAAGCTTAAAACAAAATTGTAACACCTCTACAATGATGAAATAAAACTTGTGAAAATGCAACAAAGTGTGTGTCTCCGGTTCATTTGTAGTTGTGTCGTTATCAAGAGCACATCATGTCAGGTAATACTTTTTACTTGACGTTACCCAGTAACGATGGGAGTCTGAAATATTTTCCAGGCAACAAAAACTATTCTTGGAAAATCGATTAGACAAACGCATAGATTTAGAAGGAGAATGGGAAGTGGGATTGAGCAGTATTTCGATTCCACACGATTCTAAGATGTCCAGTTACCTCGAAGGATTAAAAGACGATGATGTCTTGCTAACCACAGGACGAATTAAAGTAGCCACTGGGAATATACAACATAAAGTGACATCAAACAACAAACAACATCGTATCGAGACAGTTCACGATTTACTCAAATCCTTGTTTGATGAAGAACGTTTAAAATGTATTATGAATATGGGTTCGGCGTTTGGGAGTCATTTTTCTTCAGGACACAGCGCACAATTTGAGGTGATTGCAGATGAAGATAAAGAAACAATTACTGTGACAGCAGACAAGGTAAAATCGACTGATATAACTCATCAAGAAGTTCGTGACGGTCTCTATTTTGAGTTACCTCGAGACATGTGTGAGTTGTTTGGTTGGACGAAAAAAACAACAGTGCGTTATCGTCGTATTGTTAGTGGTCCTATTGAAGAGAATCGTAATGTATCACGACCGGCGCATAATCTCACAGTGACCAAACGTGGTACGGTGTGGAGTTATGATAGGAGGCTTACTACATCCAGTTTGACGTATTACAGATATGAGATCCCATGGAAAGACCGATTTGCGGAGAAATATCATAGATTTCTTCTTAGCGATCTGAACTGGACCTTTATCAATACTAAGAGAAGTACCTACTTAAATTTACCTTACCCACGAACCTTGTATATGTATTCCTCGCTTTGTGCTCCAGTACGCGTGGGAGATCAGACGACTGATCTTATACGTCAAATACACTACCAACCAATCTTGGAAGGAAATTATTATTACGAACCCAAGCAGATTCATTACATCAAGTTACGTAAGAATCACATCGATGTGGTGGAAACACAGATAAGTGAGTCGGAAAATAATAATTTGGCTCAGTTTACAGACGGCGCTTCTATCGTCACACTTCATTTTAGACGCGTACGTTAACGCATGGATGCCGCCGCCCAGGAAAAGGACAGAGGAGGAAAATGTCCATTCCATCCACTTACTTGCAAATGTCCTTCACGTCACGAGTGGCAAGACAATATTGAAAAGGAACTACAAGAAATGATTCGCAGAGTCGATCAAAGAACAGCCTTTCTTAGAAAATGGATGGATAATATCACAGAGGGAATGAAACGCGTGTAAGGATGACAAAGACACGTGATTTAAATTGTAACAATTTAAACTGTTTTATTTAAAAATAATAAAAAGGGAAAAAAACGCTAACGTGTCTTGGCTTGAATGTCTCTCATATAAGTGTTTCAATGTTTAAAATGTCTTGTGCATCGAATCCTGTAAACTGGGCGTATCCGTAGGGATACGATTTAAATGTTCCTACGTGAAGTACCCGCTTGTCGAATACCAAAACAAATTTTTGACTTGTGTTTCTGTCTTAATCTTCTTGGCATTGTAAAATGATAAAAAGGGAAAAAACGCTAACGTATCTTGGCTTGAATGTCTCTCATATAAGTGTTTCAATGTTTAAAATGTCTTGTGCATCGAATCCTGTAAACTGGGCGTATCCGTAGGGATACGATTTAAATGTTCCTACGTGAAGTACCCGCTTGTCGAATACCAAAACAAATTTTTTGACTTGTGTTTCTGTCTTAATCTTCTTGGCATTGTAAAATGATAAAAAGGGAAAAAAACGCTAACGTATCTTGGCTTGAATGTCTCTCATATAAGTGTTTCAATGTTTAAAATGTCTTGTGCATCGAATCCTGTAAACTGGGCATATCCGTAGGGATACGATTTAAATGTTCCTACGTGAAGTACCCGCTTGTCGAATACCAAAACAAATTTTTTGACTTGTGTTTCTGTCTTAATCTTCTTGGCATTGTAAAATAATAAAAAGGGAAAAAAACGCTAACGTATCTTGGCTTGAATGTCTCTCATATAAGTGTTTCAATGTTTAAAATGTCTTGTGCATCGAATCCTGTAAACTGGGCGTATCCGTAGGGATACGATTTAAATGTTCCTACGTGAAGTACCCGCTTGTCGAATACCAAACCATATTTTTTGACTTGTGTTTCTGTCTTAATCTTCTTGGCAATTGGATCACGCCTAAAATGTCTCGGGTTCACAATGTCAGTGTCTCTTCTTTCGTCCTGCGGGTCTAAAATTTCATCCAAAATATTTTGCCTCATGACCTGATAATTAAGCTGTTTGGCACCACGCACGTTTAGGGAAAAGCCACGAACTTTACACACGATTTTCCCATGTTTCGTCGCATACCCATAGTTCTTGGTACCCCCTGACACAAATTCCACGATGTAATCCCCTTCATCCAATTCATTGGTCATATCGCCAAGGTAATCACCTAAGGGAATTTCTGTTTGACCTGGCTTCCACGTGTAAATGACCGAGTCTGTATCATAATACAAGACTCGATCGCCCAACGCCTCCAAAGATTCATAAAGCTTAAGACGGGCCTGACAGGTGGTAAATGCTGCTATGAATATGTTGGTCTTGGACCCCTTTACTGCATCCTCTTCTATCTTCTTATACGCCAATTCAATCACATCAGCACTCAAAATGCGTACGTCTGATATTTCAATCGTTGTGTCATTTAAATGATCAATCAGCTCGTGTGGTTCTGTGATTTGCTTCGTTTTCATCTTGTTCATTTGTTCGCCAAACTTTCCCCAAAAGGAGTTCAGCATCAGTTTGGCAGTGGCCTTTCTTCCTGGATTTTTCTTGATGTGCTGGGGGTCTAGGTCTATCCCTTCTCTTGCCTTTGTAATTTTTAACATAATCTTCTTTTTTGCGCGTCCGTTTGTGCCCAGCTGGGGTAACCACTACTTTCTTGTTTTATCTTCAACCAGGTGTCTACGTACGGGGCAAACAGACCTTGCTTTCTTTGGTCTGGTGGGAAATGCCATGCTTCGTGTATGCGAAGAACCTGATACCCTTTTTTCGACAGCTTTCATGATTTCGGGTGTACACCAAGTACCGGTGAGCACGCGATCCTCCACACCATGACTACAATAATAATTTCTTCCCAACATCGGTTTGGCACTTTCATCTTCCACGCATTTTCGACATAATGGAAACGTCAGTTTTTTTTTCCATGTCGAAGAGGCAATACGGGATTGTATAAATTATAAGGCGGTAAAATGTCCACTGTCAATATACCGAAGTAGGAGGCTGGATCTTGGTCGTCTGGATCCAAAAATATTTCGGGGTGACCTATGGGGTAGGTGCCGTATTTGTTTACATAGGGATATTCTGAGGTGACGTCGACGTATCTGATTTGCTCGCCTTCATCTGTGTTGGCCTTGTAATAAAGCGACGCCGCCCCAGTTCGACCTCCAAAGAACGCATCTCTCGGATTGAGCTGTGGTACAAGATTGATTTCCTTGAGAAAATCTTGAATTTCCTTTGAGGCCTTTTTTCTGCTCCTTCCATTGACATTCCCAGATTTGAACCACTTTATATCCCATCTGTCGGAGTGTCTGACATTTGTCTTCCGTCTGCTGACACAAAGCTTCCATCGTGTAGCTGCCTGATGAAAACGCCATTTTCTTGCGGTCTTTATGACAACGTCTGCACCCGTGAAACAAACAGCCATGAAATTCATACACAGTGTTTGTGTGGCTATCAAAACCATCGACATGGTATGCCTGGGGCCCTGCGGGTATCAACTTCTCCCCACCATTACGAACATGTTGGATACGTGGGCTGTCTGATTCAAGCTGATGTTCCTGCCACATCAACCATTCTAATGCAACTTCTGATTGATTGACTTGTGCCCCACGCCATCCTCTTACAGGTTCAACGGCCACAGTATCCTTGGAAAGATGTTTTTTACGCCAATATCTGTTGCATGCTGACGCAATCGTGGCATATTTTTCCATCGGATCAAACCCAGAAGTGGACTGGAATTCATTCACAAATTTAAGACAGCCGGCTTTAAGAAGGGCGACATCTGATTGGCAGTAGGCTATGAGTTCTTGCTTGAGATCAAATGGGTGTTGCTTTTTCACTTGTTCTTCATACCAGACTTGAAATTCTTTTTTTTTTAGAATTGGACATACTTTCTGGGTCGTAACAGGAGGCTGCTGGCAGGGCTCCCACATAATCTTGATGGTCAGGTGTGTGGAACAGGTGAGGAAAGAAACCTTTCTTGAGTTCCGTGAGACCAAAGGTACTGGTAAAGGCTGAGAGTGACATCGGGAGGAAGCTGAACGAATCTTTGAATGTGATTTGACCCACTTTGAAGGATAACCATTTAGTGCCTATGGCGATGATGTCCTTGATCTTTCTTTCTTCCTTTACCAACTGATGCTGTAGAAACATAGAATCGTACCCCTTTAAATTATGGAAAATGCATATCACCTCGCGTGGGTCGCCATATTTGTCCTCGGTGAGCTGGGTGAGAAAGTTCAGAAAGTCGGCCGTGCAATTCTCCCGTAGTAGGTTTCGAAGGTATCATCTTCAGAGGTGAGGGCGCAGACCAATACGGGGATGTGTGTGTTATCTTCCGCTATCATAGATTCAAAATCAGCGTAGACGAAGATGGGAGGTTCTTCATACACCGAGGCCAAGGATTTTTTTTTTTTCTATGGCGTTTCAGGGTTGCTTTGTTTTTTTTCTTTCTTTGATCTTCTTTGGCTGCCACAGGTTGAATAAAGCATTTGTGTTCTGTAAGTTTTACATATTCATGGCATACGGAGCATTTGTCAAAGTAGCATTGGTGAGGTTCTTTTGACGCTGAGGTTTGAAACTCCTTACGACACATAGGGCATTGAACAAGGCTGTCGCAGATCTTTTCTCTTTATGCATGTCATAACACGTCTGACTGTAAAACTTTCGGCAACAAGAAGAACAGGGTACTTCACGCAAGGCATAATCAGGTTTTGCGCCACATTCTACTTGTTTGCATGCATGACATCTTCGACCCTCACATGGATGATGTCTGAAGTCATTATGATCAAATCCCTTGTTGCACTGATCGCAAAAATAGGATCGTTCTAGAAAACCAGCGTAAGATGTGCAAGTGTCATAGTGACCAGTCTCAGAGTCATCGTGTTTCTGGAGCAAGAGGCGGATAATATGCGGTGCTTCTGGGCCTACAAATACCATCATGTAGGGGTAGGAAGTTGCCATGACTTTCAATTGGTAGTCTGGTGCTAGGAAGTCTTGAAATTTTTTCAATTCTTGGTGCCCGCATGCCCCCAAAGGTACGCCCGCATCTTCATGGAGTTGATAGGCCATTCGTGATCGAACAGTCTCACATTTTCTTGCATTCTCGTAATCGATTTTCTGTCGATCCCCCTCATCTTTATGGATCCATGCTTTTGCGACACAGATGGCTCTTGCACAACACAATTCGTCTGAATTTGTAATTTGAATCACGGAATGTTTCTTTTTCAAAACTTCTGCCATGGATCGCTTTCCCAATAGAACTTTTTGTCTACCACTTTTACCACCTTTAGGCATTCGAATAAAGGTAAGGTCGGCGGTAAACTTAGAAGAGGATTTAAACGATTCTCCTGAATTCAATTTATTAGCCATAGTAGTCATGTAATTTTCAAAGCGTTCTGAATTCTTCATGATTTCTTCTACTTTGAATGTGGCTGATTGTTGGGCGTGGGCGAATTGATTCGATTGTAATGTGAAATGGAACGCGTCATGAGATGAACATTTCTTTTGCTGAATTTGTTTCCGTATCGATCTAAAAAAATAACCCAAAATAAATTTCGATAAGAGTGTATCCACCTGAAACTTTTTTTCAACACACTTTTTAAACTCTTACCTCGCTAACGCATTTGTAATTTCTTTTCCGATATTGTCGTCTTGGGATGGAGTTCGTGTCTGCTTGAGGGTGGCCTCATATCTTTGTTTATCCGCTGTCTTTTTCCAATTTTTTGGGAATCCAGCATTTTGAAATTCAAAGTTAAAGAGAGCGCCACCTGATTGTTCCACACCCAAGCCTATATTGAGGGCATCCAATTGTTGTTGGTCCAATTGATCATACAATTCATTGAGTTGATCGTCAGATATTTCCCCGCCATACTGTTGTTTTTCAAGTTCATCATAATGTTGATTTAATAGGTAATCCGAGACACTATCCTCTTCCTCCACATCATCATTCTTTCTTTTTGCCATCATCAAATAATTCTACAATTAACAAGACATGACACAAATATAAGTTTCACTCGCATTTTATTGACATGAGTTTGTACTTTTACACGGTTAAAAATCCTCAGGTTTTTTTCATGTACTCCTTCACTAATTCCGTCGCGGTTTTTAAGTTTTCTTTTTTAACCAGTTTTAAGAGCTGCAAAAAAACTTGAGTGCGATGTATTTTCTGTTTGGTTAGCGCTTCGAGAATGCTCTCATAGTCGATCATGTCGTCTCGGCACTCGGGACAGATATAGGCGGTAGGGTTCTAAAAACGTAAAACATTTGTAACGTATTAAAAATGCTGCTTGCCTGCCGCGACAGTCTTGTTTTAACACTATCATACTGACCTCCAACGTTTTCTTTTCTTGTTGCGCCATCTTCACTCAGTCTTTAGTATTCTTGTCACTTTCCTCTTCTTCAGTCTGTGTATAAGATTTTATCACTTAACTACTGCAACTTTTAAGATAAGAGTGCGCGACTTATATACTAAATTTTGTGTCATTTGATTGGTCTGTTTTCCCGCATGGTGATTGGTGAATTCTAAAACGACGCCATCTGTGATTGGTGCATTTCGATCCGTCGGTATACTCAAGGTCATCAAAGAAATTTGGTGTCATTTGATTGGTTTGTTTTCCCGCATGGTGATTGGTGAATTCTAAAACGACGCCATCTGTGATTGGTGCATTTCGATCCGTCGGTATACTCAAGGTCATCAAAGAAATTTGGTGTTATTTGATCAGTTGGATTTCCCGCGTGGTGATTGGTGAATTCTAAAACGACGCCATCTGTGATTGGTGTATTTCGATCATTCGGTATACTCAACATCATCAATGAAATGGTCCAACAAAACGTAGCGGTATCGTTTTGTTACTACACTTTTGCGTAGCGTTTGAATATTATGTAATTAAAGTATCTTTTTGTAGGGAATTTCAAACGAGTTTTTTCAAGCCCATCATCTATCTCCTCGCACTTTTTTTTATCAATTTCTTTTTTTGATGTTGTCTTAGAAAACACGATCATTAGACATAGATTAGGAATACATGCAGGTATCTTGGAAACAAGACGCTTAGACCGAGTGTACTGTCATAGCAATTTATTCATGCAAGTTGGTTTATTTTCTGTTTTATAGCTACCACCTTCAAACTTACTTTTTTGGCCAGTTTTCCCATACATTTATATGGTGTTTCCCTTTCTTAAATTGAACCATTAAATTAATTTTTATACAATTTATTTTTAGACTGAATTTCCATTGGAAGACATTGTGGATTTTTTTGAAACATTAAACTCATTATTATGGTGGCATGATATCCAAGATGAAATTTGTGTCCTTTTTAATCAGTTTAGGTTTTTTATGATTGTCACCCATATTTATAATATTATACCCTTAATAAGTTTTGGTTTCGTCGAGTATGATGAAGATGTAGCGCCACCTATATTAGAGGATTATATATGGTTAACTACCAATTACCACAGAGATACTCATAATGTCATACATTTTTTTCTTGATTGTATTCCTCAATCATCCTTTTTGTAACGCTAAATTTTTTTCAACTTTTTCAGAATGAGTATCCCTTTATGGATTACTACAACTTTCTATTTACGCTATGTACCTTTTTAGATAATCAAGATCCCGAGGATGAAATTTTGGTCCTTTTAAACCAATTTGACTTTTTTATGAATGTTAATTACGTTTATAATGTCATGAACATTATCTGTTTCAATTTTGTACCCTTTCAAGAGGTACCACCACATCTAGAGAATTGTACATGGTTAGCTACCATTCCCAACAGAAACAGTGATAACATTTTTCATTTTTATCGTACTTCATTTGTATAATAATAAACTTTGCATTAGATTTTACATGTGGGTTGTCTTATCTATAATCTAACTCATGAAATGCAGAAAAAAAGCCGTCTGCTATTTCTTTATCCCAGTTAGTATAGTAAATACATCGTTCATTTCCATAGGGGTGGTAAATGTATCGCAAGGCATCGTGGAATATAATGTCATGATGTCTCTCCCGTAATTTCAACTCCTGAATTTCTCTCTGATACCTTTCCACATCTTGTGCATGTTTCGATGCTTGCTGACGAATCTTGCGCTTAAGGCGACGCACTTTTAACACGCGACGGCTTCGTGTCTTCTTGCCCCTTTTAGACATGTGCATTCAACACGGTCACTCTGACATACATCGCATCTTGTGAATTCATTTTAGTTCTCTAGAGATTAAGGCAGCCTCGGACAGCCTTCATTTAATCCCCTCGAGGTTAGGGCAGCCTTGGGCAGCCTTCATGTAATCCCCTAGAGGTTAGGGCAGCCTTGGGCAGCTTCAGGCAGCCCCGAACAGCCACCTTTTTCAGACAAAATCTTACACTGCGCATGCGTAAAGTCTCTGACAGACATCTCACACTGCGCATGCGTAACGTGTTGTAACATCTCCCACATGGATGGGAAGTGAGGTCTTGACATATATATATATCTCATCATGATGTCGTATGTGTAACATGAACATACAAGTACACGTTACATTTCCCTAAGGGAGGCCGTGAACCAATTTTTACCCCACCTACACCCTCATATTATGAATATATTACACCGCCATCTTGAATGATGTCATTTTCTGATGACGTCTTCGCCGCCATCTTGAATCCTCCCTAAGGGACTTAGACGCCATCTTGAATCCTCCCTATGGGACTTACAGGCCATCTTGAATCCTTTGTTATTTATGTTAATTGATGGCGGCATCCCTTTGCTCCCTATGGAGACGCCCTATACTACTTAGACAAACATGCGTTTTGCAATGTACACAAATATTTCATAATGTTATTGGATGGGCGAGTATTGTTCGTATCTGATTTGCCCTTCAAAGACTATGAGTCTAGTATGCGACGATTTCATCCCATTTTAAAACGTTTATTCAGTGTAAAACTTATGAAACAGTGAGTTATACTAGGCGGATTAAAATTTTGAAAACTCAATTCGTTCTCGAACCGTTTCCTTAGAGATATAGAACTATAGAGTTCATGAGGGAGTTTTTACGAGTGCTGTTGAAAAGCTTGCATTTATATGCATCGCAGATGTAGGCCAATTTTGAGCTCAGTTGATAGTATGAAGTAAGCGGAAAGTATTTGTCAGATTTGACAATTTCAGTTAGTAAAGTGTTACTCACCAATCTATTATTTAAGAAAAGTTTCAATAAACAGAGCGAGAAGAAAGGTTTCACAATTTGAAGGATTCCGATTCTCTTTTGTTGATTGTTCAAAAATACCTTGAATTTTTTTTACGCCTCAAAAAATCAAAGTATTAGACAAATTAAAAAAAAGATGAATCGATGACGTTCAACAATAACGTTTCTATAACTGAGTTCTTACACATCTAGTTATAGGAAATAAAATAACTCAGTCGGTCAGTCAGCAAGTTACTAAGTAAAAAAAGAATAGACTTTGAAACTAAATAAGATTGAAGGCCGCAACCTCACCCATTTTTGGGAAAACGATCCATGCTGAAGGCCTCATTCCACTCAGGTGTCGCTTTCCACAATTTAGAACAAATTTCTCGACGGCCTCTGCCACCTCAAAGGTGATTTTTGTAGTGTTTTAACGTCTTCCATACCGTCTTTTGTGACGTTCTTAATTTTTATGGTGAAATTTTTAAACAAAGTTACAGCCTCCCTCAATTAGTTAATCAATTACATAAAATACTTCCAGGTCATTAACTAGTCAGTCTCACATATACAATTCATATTGAAAATTCGAAAAAAGTCTAGCAGGAGGCTTCCAATGGTGTCCAGGGTATTCATTGGCCAAAGAACTCTTTTTAAAGGAGCCTGGATTATTTTTTAAGCCTCGGCATTTCCAACTTATATGGCTTAATGGTGGTTTATCCTTAAAGGTCAGATATTTACTTTTTGTAATTTAAAAACATATATCACAGTTTAAAAGCCTTTAAGTTATCAAAATTACACACCTGTATGGAAGTTCTTCTGATAATATTTATTCCGCCAAATTTTGAAACATACTCCTTCGCCTGGAATAAAAATTAAAGTCTGTCACATTTGTAAACAGAGAAGATCCTGAAAAGCGACATGCATAAAAACGGTAAATGACTATTTAGAAAACATACCAGCTGCTTAACTCGTGATGACGATGGCGAGGTTGAAAGTGATGAATCTTAAAGAAAATGTTCATCAAGACGACATCATAAAAAAAATTGCCTTAGTATTGCAATTTAAGGACAGAAATGCAGTAGGAAAGTGGAATAACAAAAGGCTGCTATGAACAATAAAAACTCTTAAATGCACTCATTCTTTTATTGGTTATGCAGAACACTCTAATTGCTTCCTGTGCATTACTTTTGTCTTTCGGACAGGTCTTGCATGATCGATGATCAGATAGGGTTGTAGGATGTTTTTCGAAAATACTAGTAAA